CATTAGGTTGAAAATGGCAATACGATCGTCATAGAAGCAAGAGTCTGGCCTTGAAAATTTTAGGGAAAAACTGTAACTTTCGCAGGATTTTTTGGCATCTGCGACGCCAATATTGCTTGCTAACTTCGCAGCATCAGTGACAGCCAACAGATCCTTCAGGGACTATAACATGAAGTCTAAACCTATTAAATTAGTGAAGCCTTCAAAATTTTTCGGGTTTTATTGCGCAGTGCTTCTTGTTTTCAAGATGCGCCTTCCAATTTTCAAGTCATAATTTTCCACGAGCGAGTTAAGATCGAATACTGATGGAAAGGCGATCAGTTTATACAACTTTTTGATAGAGATTTCTTTTACTTTTTTCCATTCAACCAAAAGTTTTAAAGTTGTATCGTCGGTCTAGTTTGTATGATCCAGCATTAGCACCAAACTTCGGCAAACTAATGCAGCGTCGTTTGCAAAATCCTAGCTCTAGTCGCTTAACCTCTTGTTCCAAGGTCAAAAGCTTTTATAGCGACCTTGCTTTTGTCTGGGTTGTTTTCGCAAATGCTTTTCGTACTGAATTAATTGCTTTAGATTTGAGTGAACTAAATTAACATCAAAAAGACGAATATTCTCGCATATCTTTTTGACCCTAGCTCAACGTTCTGCTTTTTTAAATCTCATGTTATGTAGAATATAAACTGATTTCCGTGCTGCGTTTTGAATTCTTAAATATTCCAGGAGCGTTAATTGACATACAGAGCGGTCAAATAGACTAACTTTCGATGTTTTTTTTCAAATTTAACAATAGCTCAATTGATTTTAGCTTAATTGTATAGCTTTTTGTCCGAGCAGCTAATATTCAATGGTGTTCATAGAAGAACAAATGTGCTCCGTTCTTCGACCCTTTTTTTTGTCAAAATAAATAACTGCAAGTTTTTTTTGTCAAAATAAATAACTGCAAAAAATATTTTTTGTCAAAATAAATAACTGCAAGCTTTTGTGTTTGTATATCTTTTGCCTCGCAAAAATAATTGGTGCTGAAAACTATCATTAAATTTTTTGTTTAATTTCATCCAAAATTCGAGTTTTATGCGCGAAGTGAAAATAACAAAATGGCGGATGGTCCTCGCTCGGGCCCCGGGCCATCCGGCTAATTACACCGCACGGAAATCCGGCCAACCTCCGGCACGACCCGGCCTCTGTCTCGGCAATTGGCATGAAGCAATCCAGCTTCATGCCTCCATGCTCCAACAGCAGCTCCAGCTCCACGTCTCCATGCTTCAGTAACTGCTACAGCTCCATGTCTCCATGCTTCAGTAGCTGCTCCAGCTCCATGCCTCCATGCTTCAGTAGCTGCTCCAGCTTCACGTCTCCATGCTCCAACAGGTGCTCCAGCTCCACGTGTCCATGCTTCAGTAGCTGCTCCAGCTCCACGTCTCCATGCTTCAGTAGCTGTTCCAGCTCCACGTCTCTCTGCTCCAACAGCTGCTCCAGCAGCTGCGCCAGTTCCACGTCTCTTTCCTCCAACAGCTGTTCCAGCTCCACGTCTCCATGCTCCGACATCTGCTCCAGCAGCTGCTCCAGTTCCACGTCTCCATGCTCCAGCAGCTGCTCCAGTTCCACGTCTCTGCTCCAGCAGCCTCTCCAGCTCCACGTCCATGCTCCAGCTCCACGTTTCTCTGCTCCTGCTCCAGTTCCACGTCTCTGCTCCAGCTCCACGTCCCTGCTCCAGCTCCACGTCTCTGCCCTAGCTGCTCAGACTCAATCGTTCGAATATTGTTCCACTTCTCATTCCTTTTAAATTTTCATACAGGAAAATTCTGCGTGACAAAGATTCTATGAAATACCATTAGTTTCAACAGGTTAATAAATGTCGTACGAATTTGTACGGATAATCAGGAATCAGGAGTGTACGACTCCTGACTTTGTACGGAAAATCGTAATATTCGCACACTTGTCGTCTCATTCCAGAGATATTTTGAGCTTTCGTAATTTAACAGAAGGAAATTCTAGGAAATTTAATGACATAAATGAATTTAACCTAATATAATGATTTGCCATAGGAACTGAGGAAATGTTCCAATAGAACTATTTTATCTAATAATATCTCCCACTCTGAACTTCCACACAGCAAGTTTATTTTTAACGAAACACAAGGCATTCTGAAGAGATTAATGGACGCAGAATACACTGTAAAATTTTCCAAGTCCAATGCCAGTGAGGTGAGGTAAAATATTTCCCACAAATATCATCAAACGGAAATTTTAATCTCGCAAAGGGTGTTCGTAATACGAAACATTTCAAAGCATTCCAGCACGGATCAATTTTTCCCGACAAGGAATGAACTCACTGCTGAATGCTTCACAGCATCCATGAGAAATAATTCAAAGTTTGCCTGATTGTTGGTGCCGGTCAATCCTTCATATGTGGGTTTGAAGTTATTACAATTGCAGGCCAATCCTGCAAATGGGGATGGAAGGCATTGGTCTTGTCGGTAAATCCTACAAATGGTGGCTGGAAGTTTCTTATCTATCAATGTCAGTAACATGGGTCATCTGTTGAACAGCATTCAGAAAAATATTTTATTTTACATAACTGCAACAAGATATACCGATTAAGCGAAAAGACGACGAACACATAAAAAAGTATACGAGTCAATAAACGTGGTGAAATAAACGGTTCCGGCTGCAGTATGAAACTCATTAGCAAATTATGTGTCAACAAAAACATCATAATCCTCTCATGTGCATGAAATAAGATCCTATTTTAATCGCAGTGCTCCAAAATTCTTCACGGCGCACTCACTCAAGGTATCGAATATCCGAAGATAGTTTCGCTCCTTCAGTCTTTCCCTTTTTCCAGAGAGTGCATAATAGATTCAAATCGCGCCATTCGCGAGCATCGCAAGCGCCTTTCAGCGACGCGATTCTTTGCTCAGACATGCGCTAAGGATCGAAATTGTTGCGCTATTTCACCCAACGTATCAAATGCAACGAACTTTTTGAAATAGCGCTATTTAACCTGATGCATCACACACAGTGCTTCAATTGTGTCAGGACGCTATTTCACCCACTACATCCCCCTCATCGAGCTTTCTGAACACTCAAAAGGCGCCTAAATTCTAATATTTCCAGCGAGGCGCATAAGTTATGGCTCTACTATATATAAGTTTTTCGCTGTGTTGCGGATAAAAAATATTTTCTCCAATAATCAGAGTTCTTACATTAGGAGCTTCAATTTTTTGTTGAGTAGTTACTTTTCAACGAGAACTGTTGGGTGATAAAATTTACACGAGAACTTTACTGCCGCTGTGGGTTCACTGGCAACTTAGATCAACCACATTGCAGACTTATTTAAAATTTGTTAGAACGCGAATTTCCAAATTTTACGGCAATCTTTGGATATAAATATTTACTAGTTAGAGTACAAGCCACTGTGATGAACACTGATGAAAATTTTGATCAAAATTCAGTAACTAGTAACTTTGCGCACTTGTGGATGAGTAGTTTTGACCTTCTGACGTCGAATAATTAGTAAAAAGCCTGTACAAAATTCAAAGAACATTACCTTCATTAGTTCATTTGCAACCTTATCTCATACATGCTACATCTACAATACCATCATTTGAATGCTCACGTTAGTATAATTACTGTTGCAGCAGCTCGTGACGTCTACGCATCTGTTCGTGAAGTCGTTGAAAACTTCGCGATAATTTAATTGAGCTCATACCAAGAAGGCCTCAAATTGAAACACGTTATACAATCCTACCGGTATGCATGACAATGCTCAACTCAATTCACCAATAAATCATTATTTAATCTTTCGAAAACTCGCGTTCATTCTCAGATTACAACATCAAAGATACCACATCGCGGAATGTTTTTCGCTTAATCGAGCTCTCGTTGATGGCGAAAGAAGAAATGAACGTTACAGTGATTGCAATGCTGTGCATATAAATTCCAGAGAATCGTTCGAGTTGAGGAAATTATTCATAAATCTCCGTTGAGGAAGCAGCAGCGAGCCGTGAAGTCATCGTCTACCAATTTATTGGCTATAAACAACGCGTCTCAAATGCAGCAGAGATCCAAGTCTCGAAACTAATGTTCACTGAAAGTTGAAGCTCGTAACTTGTGCATCGGGGCCGAATAAATAAGTGATCCGGATGTTGTAGAGATGCTCTTTCAACATTAAGAAGAATTATTATTTTCCAATTTATTGAAGTAATATCGCATTTTCCTAATTATGTACATTATTTTTGAATTTGAAATATCCCTTGTAATGACCGAATTAATGACCATAGAAGTCAGACGAATTAAATAGATTGTTGAACATTTAAATTCAGCGAATTAATTTAAGAGCACTACTATAAAAATCAATAATACGAACTTCAATAAGAAGTTTATCAATCAATAATACGAACTTCAATAAGAAATTATAACCATAAAAACTGGCAAAATTTTTAACAATGAAATTTTGATATGAAATAACCAAGAACTCCTACATATTTTTCCAAAAGGTCGCCTGAATTACGAGGTCTAAAATAAATTAAAACGAATCACAGCCAAATATTCGCAATGTCTGCTCAACTTCAAATTAAACAGAGTGGAACGTTTGCACTTCTGTAACACTTGAACGTTGGATCGAACCTACCGCGTCGAGCCGCTTTGCAATATGAATCATATTTTTTTGTGGTATTAATACATTTTAATACGACATGTTTCAAACGGGCAAATATATTTACAGAAGCGTTATATTTCTATTGACTTCTAGAATCCTTTACATGATTCAAGACACAAATAAACAGATAAACTGTTATATGCAGAGTAATCTGCAAAAGAAAATTAAATAGCTCTAAAAAGCAACCATTCATCCGATGCCATTTCTTAATCAAAAGCTAAGAAACTTTCCAAACACTCACGATAAATTTCAGTTTACGTTTCATCATTTTACTATTTAATTAATCTATAGGATGATAACGTAATGGCCTTATTATGACGTATGGATGTTTATGTCGCCAGGTGGTGCGTGCTGCGAGCCCCACGCTGCTGCGCTACATCATCCTCGGTGCACTCTTCATCTACAGCACCGTGAGTAATGCATACGTCTGCCATCTTTTACACACAGAAGCTTTACTTTATTCGTATTTTCTTCAACACAATTACCTATGAGACAGCTTCTACATGAACATTGTTCAAATAATTCACCCCATCTTCAGCACGTTTACCACCGAAGTTTCTACAACATTCACGAATGTATCGCAAATCCCCAGCCTTCACCTCCAGCAGCTCTAATTAAACTTGTCGACCGCCAACGTTGGAGCTTAAGTTTACGACGTTCACGATCTTAGAGCCACCGCGAGAAGCAATGAACACACAGCTTCTATAGCAAGAATGTCTGCATACACTTTATACAGTTTATCGGGAGCACATTGCATTGGTATTATGTTAGGGGTGCTATGTATAAAAAATTTCATTAGCGTATTTTTGCAAATTTTTTGAAATGAATTTTCTTTCAAGACAATATCGAGCATTTGTAATACGTTTGTTTTCTAGTACGTTATTTTTCTCACAGAAAAGTGAAAGGCCTGAACAATTGGGAGCACCTCTTAGGTTTTATTGTACATCAATGCACTTCTACCATTGCAAAGTTCTCTACGAACATTGTCTTGCTATTTGCCGGCGACTAATTTTCTGAGTATTATAAGTTTTAAACTCATGAGGCCACAAACATCGCTCATTTAAAAATCAGCAAAAGATTTTTGCAGCTACCCAACAGCCAATATATTAACTCTCATTTTCAAGCTATGGTTTATTATTTGCGTAACAAGCTCTGTATTTTCTCCCTAATATGAATTCTCTCCTATTGCATTGATGAAGCTCAACGAGTTGTGCAGTTAAGTAGAAATTGAATTCTTGTTAATGAGAGCCCCAAATTCATCGGTTATCCTTATCCTTATTATTAAGATCCCTTATTGAGCACTTTTCTTATCCTCAAAATCATTCACCATTGTTGTGACAAGAATTACGTCACCCTCAACAATGATATAGTCAAAGAAAATAGCTTTCAATTCTCCGTAAGTGACCTTATTCATACATGCGTCTGAAATCCAATTTAGCTCACTCTTCTATTATAGCCTCGTCTTATTCTATTATATTATTTATTATCGAATGCAATGCAATTCATTTGACTAGTCTGGTCTTAGCTGGTGCAAGTGCTCAGCATAAATGACAAAACGGCAAGAAAAATACTGCAACCGTCGCTCGTCTAATTACACTTATATCACAAATGTTCACCTTGAAGTGGATGAGGTTTGATTGATGACAGGGTATGGTCGGCGCCCCTCGTTGCCCTGTTAAAGCGATTAATTTCCCTCATTATCATTTGATTTACGATAAGAAGGCCTATGAAGCTTTGCAATAATTATAATTGATTAGAGTTGCGTTTGCGCTCGGGGATGACCCAAAATTTTGACTGTTATATAGTCACATGAGGGGCCTTGAAATGTTCTAATATCTGCCTAATTTTGTATAATTTGCATTAATAAGGCAGTATTTTGAATTAATTGTTTAAGTCGTACTGTCACGAACACTCAGAGCCCATTCCTACCATTAACAGTAATGCTCCAGTGCAATAAAACTACCCTTTGTATATTGCCACTAGACAGGATGGTTTTATAACTCAAACTGTGCGAATGTTTCGAGGAGTAGAAACAATGTTCTGTGCATGATAATTTGCTGACTGATTATTATTATTTTTGAGTAATATATTGCAATCGTATTTTATGTATTACAATCTCAGAGTTTAGTCAATAAGCATAAGAAAAATTACAGAAATTATTACAATGCATAATGTTCTCGGGTCACATCATTGAAAGATTATATAAAGTTTTTCAAGTTTAATGCGTCAGTTGTGACTATGTAACCGTGCGTTCAATATATTATATAAGCATAAGAAAAGTTACAGTAATGTAGCAGAAAAGTTACATAATGTTCTCGGGTCATGTTATTAAAAGATAATTATTTTAAGTTTTTTATGTGACTATGTAACCGTGCGTGCCCTCAGAGCGTAGTGCTCTACCCTCTCCCCACGGAGGTCACGTGCTCACTGAGGGTGTGGCTGAGGGAGATCGGCTTCTCCCTTACCTACGGCGCCCTCATGCTCAAAACTTGGAGGTGAGTTACCAATGAATTGATGTAATTCATTGCTATATATTATATTATATTATATTATATCTGTCTCTTATACACATCTAGATGTGTATAAGAGACAGTAACTGCAGCATTGTAAAATGTTATTAACATTCTAACACTTTGCACTAATTCGTAATTAATTTTTTCCTGGTAGCATGATTTTTTGTCATGAGATATAAAACCAGTCATATTGCATCTTTATATTATTATTTGGTTTCTCTGGGTCTATTATCAGTGATGGCTGTACATACAAAAGGCTAAATGATACCTTAGTAAGATATCTACTATATTCTATGAAGCCAGAGGACACAGTAATTGAGAACTTCAGTGAGATTTCTATAAAAAAAGTGTTGCCTCAATACAAATTGGTTCTGTGATTAGTTTCAGCTCCCACGTATGGAGATCTGGGATGCATCTTGGCACTGCATGCATTGAAAATTGCAGTTCAATAAATGTATTTGTGATAACTCAGACAGGTGAGGTATCTGGGATGTTTGTTTTACAGTTGATAAAGCAAGGTTGCATTGTGTACCATTCATGCATAAGNGGTGTTAGGAGGTGGGTGTTAGGCCCTAGCATGCAACTCCGGCATCTGAGCAGCTCCAGGCGGATCTGTCAACGCCAATACGAGATGGTGCGGGTAGCGCTAACTTCTATGAGTATTTCAAAACAGTGTAGAATTAAGGAAAACATTAGAACACTGTTTAAACATTAGAACACTAGAAAACATTAAAAAAATCTTCTAGCAAAATGAAAATCATGGATGGAGTAAATTCTAAAATGGTGAATTTTTTATTATCATTAAATTACGGAGACCAAAGACGTGTCTTTTGTCGATGCTTTTAATGTAAATTTTAGAGAAATTCTGAGGTAACTCAGTGATAAAAAATATGAATGTGATCAATTAATTGTAATTGATGCAGTAATTGATTAGAGAATCGCATTGTTGTTCAATGTTGCATAGGACATAATTAAAATGTTTAACTAAATTCAATATTATGCAACTCATCTGTTCATTAATATAACTAATTAAGTTTATGTTCTATAATATTTCAACACAAATTACTTAAACTCATGTATAAATGAAAATGGGAGCAAGCAAATAAACGGGATTTTACTGCTCCTAATTAGTCCCGACTGAAGATAAATCATCAGTAATTAGAGACCAAAGAGCGGTCCGCTGCTCATTAGGCACGCGTTATTCCCTGCTTAAGAAAACAGCGGGGCTTCACCACCTCTAATGTGGCTTTGCCAGCGAGCAACTCTGACACAAACTTCAGGAATAATCAGCGCTGCAAATGTGGCCTAAACTCCAGTTAGGAAGAAGGCCTGCAAACAGCAACCTGATATTTACGCACTTCCGCGTCAGATAACGCGGTGGACGTGGATTACATTTTGCGCACTCAAAGCAACGTCTGGGCAATGCTGGGTGAACCTGTTGAGATTTCTCAGCAGCAGCGCCAAACTGCGATCCTATGAACTTATTCGGTATGAGCCTCCAGAAGTTAGTATAAATTTACTCGAGATGATCACACACAGAGAATGTTGAATATTGAAATTTCAAATTGTATTTAGAGATATTTATCGTACACAGTTCGCGAAGGAAAGAAGATCCTTATCACTCAGCGAAAAGTGTGTGTTTCGTAGATTTTCACTTTGAAGACATAAAGAACTATCTAATTATATAATACTACAAATTTTACAATAACTGACATGACACAGTGCGACCATGGGCCATACTATATAAATCAGAACACCCTAAGGTAGACGCAGCGGCCGATTTATCGTCATCAATAGATGAGTTTAGGTTGAAATGGCGTCGGTGACTGGCTGGAGAAGTTAAGAACTCGAAACTATTTTCGATAGTGCGGCCCCTAGCTAGTAACTTGACGAAAAGAGCTGAAGAGTCAGTGAACTTTTATGTCCGAGCATTGCTAATTTTTAACTGAATTTCGTTCAATTCAGGAGCTTTAAATTGAGTGATATTCGTGATACGGTGAGAGATTGTGTTTCATGAAAGATCGCAGTGTGATGAGGGAATTAGAAGCGGTATCATACCTTGCAGTCACCCGAGCCAGGTTATAAGAGGAGCTAAATACAGTCTTCACTCATGATCACTTACTCGATAAAAATAGAGTTACAATTCAACCCGTAAATCTTAGAGTTGCTACTTATTCCAGTATCTTTGATCCTTAACGTATCTTAGCAAGATATATCTCCGCAAGAAACAATCAAAATTAAATGGAAATGGACCTCAGAATTCCTAATTTCTGAAGTCCGTGCATAATGTTTGATCTGTTCAAGATTGGAAGTTCGCCTCTCTCATCGAGGGAACTTTGACCTCGTTTATATTGCAGGGCTTCATTACAATAGAATGTTACTATGGCTGCGTCACTTCAATGTCTCTCTTGAATTGTCAGTGTGATGCTCTTCACTATACCTGAAGTATTCACTATCTAATTTCGACCTCATTTATACTTCAGCACCTCATTACCATAGAATGCTCCTGCAGCTGCAGGATATCAGTATCTTGCGATATAGTTTGTGTAATGTTGAACCCTCGACTTCATATTCATCGCAATATTTCAGTTCCATTGGATCATTCCCGCGAGAAAACCATCCGTGTCGTTTAATGTTCAGCATAAAAGCCTCGCATATAGCTATATATGAGTTTCAATAATGTGACTTCACTAGAAAACGTGAATTATTGAACCTCATTCCGATTCCATGATCCGCAAGTAGAGAATCCTAGTGACGTTCCGTAGTAATTGTACATGCGTGGAAAGTACTTTAGTTATCCCTTACATGATCCTCGGGTACAGGATCTTATATAGTGGTGTTCCTCCTGCACTGTATTTGTATGGTATATACAATGCGAGATCTTGGTCACATGATCCTCGGTAGTGGATCTCAATAATATTCCATCTGTACTGTTTTTCATGGTACATGTCTTACCAGAGCCTGATCATCTAGATAGTGGATTTCTATAGTATTCCATCTATACTGTTTTTATGGTAAATGCGTTATCAGATCGTGATCTCATGATCCTCGGTACAGGATCTCTGTAGTATTCCATCTATATGAATCTCCAGATCGTGATCTCATGATCTTCGGTACAGGATCTCTGTGGTGTTCCGGGTGCGCTCGGCGAAGGCGGTGAAGATCACGGACCTGGACCTGCTGAAGAGGCTGTGGCTCATCGTCGCCGCGTTCAGCGCCCTCGTCGCTGTCAGGACCATCGTCTCCCCGCCCCATGTACGTCGCAGGCAAATGTTGTGTTAATTTCGGATGTTGTTTTCACCGTCAACCATTTTGTGGGGAAATTAATAATTAGGAGATATTGCTCTTTTTATAGGAAGGAACATTAATCCTGACATGAAATATCATTATTGGAGTCAACTACACTATAGATAACTGATTAACACTTTTTAATTTTGGTCATATTCAAAATATGATGAATCATTAACTGTTTGTGTCACCAAATATTATTGTTTGCTTGAAAACATTAAGATCCATCAACTGCTATTCGATAAGCAGCTGTTATCGTGTCGTTGACCATTTTAAGCAGAATAAAATAATTGTTATCCAGACAATAAACCTTAATTGAACTCATTGATGAGTTTCCGGCTATTTAATCGCAATTCTTCGAATTCCTGATACACTGAATCACAGAGAAGTTATTCGATTCTTCCAACAAACGTTATATGAAAAAATTGTGCTGGCATGCCATTTGAACAAGAAACATCCACATGCATGTAAGCGGCAGTCACAGAAACCTGAATGAAACTCTTTCATTGATTAATCTATAACTTTCCATGAAATCTGTTCACATAGTCTGCATTTTCTATCATCAATGGATGCGTCGCGCAATCTCATAAGGAAGGTTTTCGGCGCACCCGTCAAAAATTTACGACATTGTCTCCTGCTTCCAATTTTCTTAAGTCGAGCTCCAGGCAACGGCTGCGACTTTATATGCTTTATTGTCACATATTGACCGCCTTGATGCCTGGTATCACTGATACACAACTGAATGGCAGATGAGAAGCGCAGCGTCCATTGAGCAACTAAAGTGAACGCTGCACTGACTTATATGGTTGCCGCTCTGTAAAGTTCTGCAGCCAACATCCGATTTATGTTCATTGAAATTCCTTTTACAATTTGTTAAAATGAAACTCGCTGGGACTCGGATTGAGCTTGAAATTTCATGATGTCTATCATTGTAATTCAGTTGTTATTGGTGATGACGCGCTTTTTTTTATTATAGGCATCAGTCTTGTGTAATTTTGATGGCGTAGATCCATCATGGCAATCATCCAAGAATGAAGAAACTATAGACCTACTTGTTCCAAAGGTCCAGCTTCAAATTAAAAGAATGCGGGGAATTTTTTTTATCACTTTTGACTAAAAAGACTTGCTGCCGTAAAACTTAAATTCAATTTGAAACGATTAACAGAAATTAAATTGAAATGTTTCTTGAGAGCATATCGGTATGCCCAAACTGCGGTCATATTTGCTGACATTAATTAAATCAAACTAGTTCAACTATTCCTTCAAACATGTTATTCCATTACTTCCGTTCATTTGCACTTTAAAAATCAAAGGAAATTTCCTTACTTGCACGCGCAGTTGATACTTTCTAGATTTTCATTTATCACTGGCCGCTTTTTATTGGCAGGTAAACAATGAAAGTGGAAGAAGAATTAACATGGACAGAACGTTAAACAATTTTTATCAATTACTTCATGTTTCATATGACTGTTGTTCCCGGTATTTATGCCGTTATTGCTTCCAATGACTTTTAGGGTAACTTCGAAATAATTTTTTCAAGCTTTAGGGTAGGAATCAGCTTAATTTAAATGATGTAAACATTAATGATTGATAATTGTGATGATGTGCTGGCTGCAGGTTGTGGTGAGCTACACCACTGAGGGCCTGAAAGCTTACCTCTGCTCCACGGACTGGTGGGACCACGTTTTCACCTGCAGTGAGTAAAATGTGGTTGTTAAAAAATCAAGGTACAAATAAGATATAATAAAATCACATACATCTAGACCATTACTGACGCAAGGTTAAGGCCGAAAATAATATTGAAGTGAGGATTCAATTGTACAATTCACGACGATCTTGAAATTATTATTGACGTGACGTCATACAAAAGTCGTGACTAGACCAGTGCTTAAATAAGCTGAGGTAGTACTATAGACGTCAGTGCTTAACTAAACTGAGGTAGTACTACGTCAGTGCTTAACTAAGCTGAGGTAGTACTACGTCAGTGCTTAACTAAGCTGAGGTAGTACTACGTCAGTGCTTAACTAAGCTGAGGTAATACTACGTCAGTGCTCAACGAACCAGAAATTGCACCAAGTTAGTGCTAAACTAAGCTGAAAATGCCATCAAAGCTGGCCGATCGTTTTTGCTTACTCGAGAGAAGAGAGTTCTATGTCGGATGTCCATTATATCACCCATGATGGGTGACATAATGTGTTGGTGGGTAGGATGTCTCTTTTTTTGCAACACAAGTCAATAAGAATATGATAATGAAGTTTGTTGTTGAAATACTTACTGATGATAGTAATGCGTGCATAGTACTATGCATGAATAATATAGCCTTAATTAAGGTCACCGACCTCAAAAACATAAGGAAACTTATGTCATTTAAGTAAGATGAAACATTGTACGTCCTTCATTATTCTTGAAACTTTCTAATGGCATCCTTAAAATAGGATCTTAAAATTTAATCGCATGTGATGGAAGAAGTCCAGGATGGCAATTAATGTGGTTAAAATAACCCCAAAATGATAAATCAGTTCAGGTTTGAAGCTCGCAACTTGCGGTTAAAATTCTGTGGTGTCTAACATGGCCTAATCTTCAACGCTGAAAGCAATATATATTTTCATTATAGTATTTAAGGATGTGTACGGATAGATGGTACAGCTTAGGACTTATGATTGGTATATATAGCACGCTGCCTCGTGAATTTGATGGAACCAAGATCACCTCATCCAATGACAGTGAATTGCCGAAAATGGCGCCTTCGATCCGAACTTCAAATTTAGCGAGAAATTTGCGACGTGATCTGCAAGAATGGGAGAAGGCTGATGGCTTCAAAAATTCCCCTTCAATTAGTGGTTTAAAACTTGGGACGGGAGCAAATAGGGAGAGGCTCTCGCTGCAACGTGAGAGCCATACTAATGATGCCGGCCTCTATCTCTACAAAAATGCAGGACCTCTGCTTTGAATACCATTGACGACCACTTAATGATATGATAAGAGGAAGGGAAGTAAACAGACAATTTCTGGTTCAGCGGAGGCCGCTTCCTTACAAGGGTCTCAGAAAGGAAGCACAAAACTCAGCAGCGTTCGAATAAGGCGCATGAAAATAGACATGCATTTTCTTTGGAGGCATCGCTTGAAGTAATTCTTTTTCTTGTTGATACGGCATAATTGATTACGGACCGCCGTACAGACAATTTATAATCTGGCATCAGATAAGGGATTATATACAGTAAACGCCGCCATTATTTATCATCATCAAATCGTATTAATTTATCATCTACCAAATTTAAGTAAATTCTTCAATAGACTTATGAAATTCAAAGCTAACAAATTCTATTTGATAATCTTGGTCTCATTTTTTACGATTTTTTAATGGGAGAAGCCAATTCACTAATCGTTGTGAAATTTTGACGAGCGTTTCATTACAAGAAATCACTGAAAATTACTGTATTTACGTTGAAAAAATTGCACATGCCATTGACATGACTTAGAATATATGTTACGATAGTAAAATTTTTCTCCCGGAATTTCATCAATCGCCTTCAATTCTCGCAATGACTCGTGTTTCGACTACAATATAAAATCATTCAAGCATTTAATACTGCCGATTCGATCATATATATTGAGCCATTCACTTAGCCATTTATGACGTTAACAACGAGGAACTTACACCGGCGCTCGGAGCTGCGGGCTTAGCTGCATGGCTTGGTGTGTTAAGTCTGCAGGTTTCGCTGGTGCGTTAAATCTGCAGGTTTCGCTGGTGTGTTAAATCTGCAGGTTTCGCTGGTGTGCGGCTGAGTGGCATTTAAAGATTCAAGCTTCGATGCCCCGAGCTTCAATGGTTTATTCTGGGTCGATGAAGTTGGCCAAATGATGAGATGCGGGCTCGCGGGATTTGGTTGGCTCTGTCTCAAAAGAATTGTAAAATATTCCGATATTAGAATAAATATATACATTAAAGAGAGAATATAATTTATGAGCACAGTGAAATCACGATTGAACTCAATTTTCTGAAAGAGAAAATGTGGATAACATTTAAACAAAACAATTGCATGAATTTTAATTAAACCGAAATAGAGTGTTATTTGGAAGTTAATCCTATTGATCGCTAGTGTCGTCAATTATTCGTCTTTCTATTGTGCGCAATTAAGCAATTGCGCACAAATATGCAAATTTTGTGCGCATATTTGCATTTTTGTGCGCATTGCATCTAGCAAGTGATAAATTGCATTTAAGCAATTTATCACTTGCTAGATATACAACCCTTTTTTCTTTCGATACTTTCTAATAACTGTAGCGTGTTCGATGTCCCATAATAATTGATTTGTTATGTACATTTTTTTGTGTGATTGGCCTCACGAATTGTCAATGCTTGGCTTCGTCAATTGTTTATTTTTTTATTGTTATTACATATATTTTACGTTATCGCGATTAGATCTCTTTTATCCATTACTCCACTCACCTATCGACATCGCTGCTAACTCCCCCACAGCAGAGCTCCCTTTTATCCGTTACTCCACTCACCTATTTTATCCATTACTTCACTCACTTATCGACCTCGCTGTATCCCCCACAGCAGAGCTCCCTTTTGTCCGTTGCTCCACTCACCTATTTTATCCATTGTTTCACTCGCTTATCGACCTCGCTGTATCCCCCACAGCAGAGCTCCCTTTTATCCATTACTCCACTCATCTATTTTATCCATTGCTTCACTCACTTATCGACCTCACTTCATCCCTCAGTGGAGATGCTGTTTCTGGTGTGGGGCATCAGGCTGTGCATCGTCGTGCGGAAGGCGCCGTCTGAGTTCAACGAGTCCAAGTTTATTTCCATGGCAATATATAATGAATTCCTGCTGACGCTCTTCCTCAACGTCTCTATGTAAGACACTCCTTCAGCTCAATACTTCGTTATGTTATTGATGATATCAATGTCATGGTATATAAAAGTTTCGATGATATTAATGTCATGGTATCTGAAATTATAGATGATGTTAATGCCAATCTGCTCAGCCAGAGGTTCTTTTCTGCATAGCAAATGCGTGGTAGACTGGATGCAGATTTACGTTGACCGTTCCTACTGTTCCCGTTCGTATCATTAATGCAATTTGTTTGTGACTTGGATTTGCCAAAAATATTCCAACAGTATAATGCTTCTCATACTTTTTCTGCTACAGTAGATGTTTTGCCCTGTTAAATGTCAATGTCTATCTGGCCTGACTGATCATTTGTTATTGTTAGTTACTCTGATTATAGAAATTTGTTTTATAAATCGGCGTATTTCAGGTTCACAAAACGTTTGCATGCACGCATGTTAAATTTTTTTCATATCCAATGTGCGTAACATCTTTCGCCATGTCATGTTCATGAATCTAAACATAGAAAACAAGGACGAGACAGATAAATACCGTAATTGTATTTTTCATCAATTTTTTCTCAGACTTTACCAATATTTTTTTTTCATGTGAGCTCTTTACTTGTACGTTGAGTGAGCTTTTTAGCCGTGTTATTCATCCCGGTTGTAATTCTGCAGAATTACTGAAATTTTCTTTGACATAACTGATGTCCAGTGCTGAAAATTGAGTTCTTTGAATGCTGAAACCACGTGGCCGTTTTCACAGGTTGTTCCTGCAAAGTCCTGCCAACCCTGACCTACTCTTCATCATTTATTTCTGCCACACGCAGCTCACCATCACTCTACTGCTAGCCCTCATCTTCGGCAGCAAGGTAAGACCGCATGAAAATGTTGCTAAGGCTTTTAAGGATGTGATTAACATTTCGCATATATGATAATTCTCCAGCACATTCTGCACTTTTCAACTATTTGTTTATCGTGGAACTACACCTGCCGCAAAATGTCAGGTCATTGAGCACAAAAATTGGCATTGTTCGCTGCTCTTTACGAAACAAATCTTCCATAAAAAACATGTTCTAGCAAATGCCATCGGCCACACGTATAACAAAGCCGTAGCCTCGGTGACCTTCTGTTGAAAATCATTTCGATGGTGACCATCGTTTTTTCAACGACAATTCAAACGAAAAAAAATTATAAGTCATCTTCAGAAGTGACTTTTATAAATAATGCTGGTCACGAATTTCGGAACTTGATAAAAAACGTGAATTCCTATGAGACAATATTGCAATATTTGAAAACGTTCAAGCCAGCTTGTAAGTTATGCATGCACTGTATAACCAAGAATGAGGTGGGTAACAGTTATTTTGATAAGTTATAACGGTAGTGAATTTCAGGGACATTAGTAATTTATTACATTATTATAGTTGTAGCCGAATTTTTTTAGACTAAAATTTCAACTTTTAAGAAAAGTGCGTAATTAGACAACTATATTGAGTACAATGTAAATGCATTTGAACTTAACTATTAGCGTCTTGGCAGTGTGTCTAATGGCTTGTCTACTTTGTTCAGACCAATTATGCAGCAAATTTCCCTATGTGGCTAACTACATTGGCCGACATGTCCATGACGGGGTAATTTGGTCGTCGACCAAACGACCCTAAATTTTTAACTTTTTGAACGCACTCTTTGAAAAAGAGTCTAATTTTTTAGTCCATCTTTATAATTTGGCAGTGATAGTGTATGTTAAGATATCTAAACAAATATGTTACCACCATAAAGTGTAAGTGTAAATTGAGATACGTTATCTCAAAAATATATGTACTAGGTTAAGATATCTGTCACAAAACTATTTATTATTCTGTTTTTTTTTTACACACGATTAAACCGCACGAGCAGGAGGTACCTGTCAAAACCTGTTGAAAATAGCACAGCGGATCGGCTTTGATTACCAAAATGGACAAAATACCTCAAACATAAAAACAACGACAGCACAATCAAAACTTCATGAAACTCCTCCCGTTACACAAACGCGACCGGACTCCGTTCATTCCCAGACGGCTTTAAAACTCGGAGAATTTCCCACCGTGACCTGACGATGCACTTTTTCCCACAGTGAAGTTTTCCAGAAGTCTTTTTAAGTGCCGCGCAAATTGCCCATAAGAAAGATGGTATCATCCGTTTTGAAAAAAACTGACTTCCTTATGCACCGATATTTTCACCTTTGTAATGTCCTTTGATCCTTCCTGTCTTAAGTTGTTCAAAGCGCTGAACTGACAGCTTGCAGCATCTGAGCGTAATTGTAGCCTCGACGGTTTTGGAATTACGAATGAGAGATTGGGATAAGATATACGTTCTAAAAGCTCGGCTGATTTACGGGAACTGGAAAAAATTGGCCAGGATGGTTATCGTTTTACATATGAACAGAATGACATGTCGATGCAGTGAGAATCAAGTAGCTTTGGCCTCTGCCGGTAATAATCCAGCTCGCTCATAGTCCTGACCCTCAACTTGAAGGTTCGCTGGGCCGCTTCAAATTATCGCATTGCACCTAATGTAATCGGGATCGACAGTTGGCATCCATCTCATCTGTCGCCTTCTTCTTGCAGTTATAGCTGCTATATACAGTAGGTGGTCACCAAGCGTGACCTCGGTACTTATCATCTCCCGATGATCATCTCCCCTACGCAAACCCATTGCTTATACTCAATTGCATCGCCATCTGTTGGAAGGTATAATGGTGTTCCATCCCGAGTTCTTAGCCAACTCTGCATTCCAATACTCCAATACTTGATCCTTTTGAATCTCATGGTCTTATGCCCGGTCTTGTATCTCGAACAGATCCAATAGCAGCCTGTCGCAATCTATACCTTGTCCATAATCGTCACAAACTCCTTAATGTCATTCGGGAATAACGATAACCATGGCTTACTTTTAATTCTGAGTCTGCAACGTTAGTTAGAAAGAGAATTAAACCAAAAACTGTTCCCGGGGGCACTCTGATTTTCAGACTCGACTCGCCTAATATTGAACCTCCAACAACGACTGATTGAAATCTGTCGGCTGAAAGGTGTGGATCCATGATATTAACTCTCTCCAGGCGCCCTGTGTTCTCAGTTTCCTGAAACGCATTTTGTGACCAAAGTCTTTCTCTCTAAATGCACAACGCCCACGCCTGCCCCCGTTCACCTACACGGTCAAAATTGTTGATGATGCTCACCCAGCTATGAAAAACAGGAGGTTTTCCACCTGAAAACCATTTTGTTCCTTATCGAAATTGTCAGCTACGGCACCAACCTCTTTGCCACGAGTCTCAAACACCTTGTTTACATGCGATGGTAATGTCACCGGACTTCAATTTCAGAGTTTGTCTCTTGCACCTCTTTGTGAATTTGAGTATCAGTCCCATCTTGAGGTGACTAGGAATGTTCTCTTAACGATGCTCTCCAGAGCAAACTTGGACCTTTAGCCCTCCGACACATTTTTTCAGCAATACAGAAGAGACTTAATGCGGCCACGGGTACTAAGGCGATAGTTCTGGCATACTTTTCTCGAGGTCCTCAGTTTCAAACTCAGTGTGGAAAAGTACCCTCTACTGTTCCTGAAGAACTGCAATGAAAATTTTCCGCTTTGAGTAACGAGGGTTGTTGAACATTTCTTCAAACTGTGCACTTGGCAGTTTGTCCTGTCACCTCTGAAGAGAACATCGTTTTTCCGCAAATGTCTTACATTGATGCCTATTTTACACCTATATCGAGTAATATTCAAGCAATATTTTAGTTTCCTTAATGTCACACACCGCTCACTCCTCTGCTTTATGCTCCCGAGACCAGCGATGACTCTTTGCCCTTGTGTGGGTCGTCCTGACCCAATTTTGCGGCACACATGAGCATATCAATACTCACCCGCTCTCTGTCCGTCCTAATGGCAAGAACGGGAATCATATTTAAGCAATATGACCAAATCATGTTTTCTGAGTGTGACATATTATTTCACGAAGCCCCCTGTACATTGTTTCGGCATTTGCGCAATGCATTCAGTTTTCAGCACGCGCAGGGCCATCTTCCTGCGTTCATAAATGAAATTACATGGACATGGACCCCTACACCACGTAAGTTAATTGCTGCCTGAAGAAGACTTGCGTACACGTCACTTCATTGGTTGAATTTCATCGCCTATTTTGGTTCATTTACTCCCCAAGAGGTTCCTTCTGCCTCAAGGAATGCCTTTACTAGCTATAATTACGTAGTGATCCAGAATATCGTTTATCCTTTTCACTTCATTACTTTAGATGTGAACTTTACTGAACTGTGAATGAGAACTTATAGAAATACCTAGAGTCTGATGTGATATCATTCTGGCTATTCATGAAGAAAACATCTCAATTCCAGATATTGCCGAAAACACTTTGCATTGTTCGCCGTGTAATAAGCTTGTATGACACAGATACAACGTTAGATGGAAAGCATATTTTCAGTCCCCTATAAATTAACAAAAATACAGGAGAAAAGATCTAAAAAATTACAGTTTTCGCCCATTTAAATCCTCTTTATTAAATGTCAGAGCTCTATGCACTCTCATCACAGAGCGTTACCTCAGTTGACGTCTGGGCCTGCAGCTGAACAAACTTGTCGATTGGACTGTTGGGTTCAATTTGTTACTGGGATGAACAATTGAACATAGGCTCAACGCCTATGGTTCTGACGGCAAAATCCTTGTGAGCCACTGACCAGGTTCACATGTTGCTATCAGAACTTGATTGGTAAAATTTAGATCCATGTGTTACATATTAACCATATTTTATAATAAAATAACTTTTTCGTTATCGATTATCTATTGCAACAAGAATAAGTTACTAGCTCATTATAGTTGCCAATGCCGCTACTGACACACAAACCGCGACGTGATTTGTTGAAGCCTATGAAGCCTATAGACTAAAATAAATATACTTGATTATTTCTCATGTCCAAATAAATTAAAATAGTTTAATATACATTGTGTTATACTACTTAGTAAGTTCTATATCATCAGTCAAATTAGTGACATATTCAAGTGTCCATGTCTGAAAACAGTCATAATTTAATTATATTAACATTTATTCAAGTCCGAATAATAATAAACCAGAAAATAAGCAGACATTAAAAATAGTTATCGGTTAGTGTGAAAAATAAAGTGAATCGGAGAATTTACTCGATTAAATTCATAATAAAAAGTAACCGTAAGGATAAGGGAGAGCTAATTTCGGTAATTAGTTTTCCTTACTTTCCCAATTAGTGAGTTAAGTTTTGCTGAAGTTAATTCGGCAATTTTAACATTCTTTTTATCGAGGTTAGGAGGTTCAGTGTCCTCTTATAAAAGTTTGGTCAAGCATTAAATCCGTCCATTTTTCTTCAATAAATTCACGCATGACAGGTAAAAGCGAGCATCCGTCCACGAATGACCGGTAAAAGCGAGCATAGTTTCGAAAAATTTCTGAAACTTGTAGCTCATAGAGATGTATATTTGTGTCTTAAAAGGCGTACCTGGTGGTGAAAGGCCAAGGGAAGGGCGAGGAGACTAGCATGACGAAGGGCAACACGGCCAAGCTGCACCACAAGAGCAAGAACAACGCAGCCTACCACGCATCCCTCAGCAGCGGCCACGCGACGGCCGAGACCGACGTGCAGGTTAGATACTTATTTCTTGCACGGCGCTGACCGCATGTCGTTAAACTGATTGACGAAAATGACGGAAAAACTGGAGGAATTTGTTCGGTAATCTGAAAACAGAAAAACAGATGTGTATGTCAGTAAATCGATTATTATCTTAACCACTTTTATACGAATGTTGAAGAGAGGTGATGAAAGTGGGCATTGCGTGAGCAGCTGCCTTTAATTTAATTTCCCCTATTATACTAAACATATGGCATGTTGCCTTGCTGCCCCTGGGAGTGACGCCGATTTCATTTCTTGGCTGTTGACTGCCAAAATTTTATGTTATCTTGAAAAATTATGTTGATGATAAAAGTTATTCCATTAATTTTTCAATCGTAATGCAATATCTCCCATTTTCTCCGTTCCCTAGGAGGAGTTCCAGCGCCTGTACCTGCAGCTGGAGGCGCTGAAGGAGCGCAACGTTCGCCTCAACAACCGGCACTTGGTGGCGTGCATTTCCGCGATGCAGGAGGCGGCTGCCTCGGCCGCCATCACGTCGACCATCGTCACCTCATCCAACCATGACACTAAAAACAACGTATCTACATCTGAGGACATCGCCATTCTCAACTACGAGATTAAGCACTGCGGTGGTGACGGTGGAGATTTTCATAAGCAGGAGAAGAAGGCGTTGACGGAAGGAGGAGTTGAAGCACTTAAAAATGAGACGAGCTTCGCAGACCGTCAGAAATTGAACAGCGATTGTGAGGATGGGTCCAATGGCCGTCCTAAGGCCGAGAGTGGCGAGGATAATCTTTTCAAGCATGGCTTCAGAGAGAAGTCCAGAAGTACGATAGTGAGCAGGAGTTATAAGAATTCTAGCTTCAAGTTGGCAAAAACGTCGTTGATTCGATGCAGGAGTAGTACAGAGGGCAGAATAAGTGAAGGCATCGTCATGAGGCCCATCATTAATAGTATCTGGCCCTGCAGTGTCATAAAAACCACTTCATTATCTAAGCCCCTCGAAAAGGTTACAAAGAATGCCATCAGCGATCCTGAGATAACAAGTCTGTCTTCAGTGTATCCCGTCACCTCATCACCAGTCAAAATGACCGTCGACTGCGATGCCAACATCCAGACCTCCAACCCAATACTTGGCAGGGAGATGAGCACTCAGACTTCCAATACTGACAGATTTTTATCGGGTTTTGCACCTCGAGATCACATGAGAACGCCCCGGAGATCGAGCCTCGTTGAACTTAAAAGAAGATCGTCGGATGCGAGTGAATTCGAGAAGCCTATTGACTTCAGCCATTCTGACTTCAGATTAAATCTCGAAATGCATTCACGCTCCTTCAAAAACCCAAAAAGTTTGAAATTCTCTAGACGAGGGCAAAGCTTGGATAACGTAAATGAGTTCCTTATTTTATTTAACTCTAAAGCACAAAACTTTCCTATGCATCGTTCAAGCGAGACGTCACTTCTGAATCAGAACTCCCATGTGGCGTGCGCAAGACCTTCAGATGAGGCGAGAGCTTTCGTTCTCTGTAATTTATCTGATAAGAGCAAAATATCTTCAGCAGAGGTGACAGTCTAGCATAAATCAGCCTTCTCTTCTCATAGATCTTCTCATTTATTTTCTTCAATCTCTGAAAGTTCTCTCTTGTCGCAGGGTCTTAATGCTCCTGAGGTGCTCATCTAAGCCTATGCTGGAAGCTCTTTGAAATGGTACCAGCGAGCTTAGGGAAATTAATGAAAATGAGAAATAAAAATATATTTAAATTTTATGAGTGAGAGAAGGCTGTTGAACGTATCGGCTTACAAAGATGTCTTGGTGTTGCTTTAGCCAATAAAGCGTTTTCAAAGGAACTAAAAAAGGAGTTTCCGACTTAAATTAATATTTAATATTTTAGGAGCTGCAATCCGAAATAATTTTCAACTAAATTCTCTGAGCTCCTACAAGATGGGAAAAATGCAGGAATCAAATTACATATTTTCAAAGCGACAACAGCGTATGGGCCCATTCATACGCCTAGCGCAGGTAATTGGAGGTAAATTTTCACGCTCATGCAACTAAATATAGAAGACGTGTTTACCTCCAGTCGCAGGTGACCCTTGAGCTCTAAATTGTTTGCAAGGCAACGTTGTTGGGAAGTCAGAAATGTTTCTTCAGTATTGCTGAGCTCATTAGCATGCAAGAAAACGTTTCCGGAATGACCGTTTTGGGGGCAAGCGTTGAACTTCTAATGGGTTCATTAGCCCGGACAGCGATGATGTTTATGCACAATTACTGCTCGGTTCTTGCATATTCATGTACGTTCTCTTCTCATTCATGAGAAACTGACAATACGTTACTAAGACTTACTGTAGCACCAGTAATTCAAGGCTGACGCCATGCTAGAAAACAAGAGATCCAAGTTACAAAACATCAAAATATAGCACAAATTTACTCAACATCTCGGTCTTCTCAAGGAGTTTTAATTTTATTTAGATGCGTTGATGATAGCCACTCCATTACAATTAGAGATTTACATGTGATATAAGTAAGTGTTTAACGATTGACGTTGAAATAAGGCAAACCTTGCATAGAATAAGTTAATTACATGTACATAGCTTAGATGAATTAGGAAATTATTGCACATTTCAATGTAAAAATTTGCAATATGTATTCTATTTATGATCCATCGTAATATTATAGAAGAATTAGCTGAATGTTTTACTTTACTGAATGTTTGATTGTGCATTCAATTTATGAGATCCTGGCCAGACGATGAAGAGTGAAGTTTATTCTTCTCAAACATAAACAGCATCAAAACGAACGAGTTGAATGTCATAGTAACGCGTTAAAAAGTTGCTAATAAATTAATGAAAAAACTTCCCGTCTTAATATTGAAATTAAAAAGGATACGTATATTTTTGTATCGAGATTCAAATCATTATTCAACAGCCAACAATTGCGAGCGGTTTCGCTTACTTATACTCAGCGAAATAATAATAACAAAATTTTTATGCTAAAGATCGTTTGTACATAATTTACTGTTGATTCTGGAGAAGATAATCTATTTAAATGGCAGCATTTTAGCCGCCGTATTTAGAATACTGATATGATCGTGCTGTAGTTAAGAGTTCATCTGTTCTCATACGATGAATTTTCGTTTCTTTAGAAAAGTTTAAAAATGAAAGGGTATTATTTATAGCAAAATTTTAGCCAATAAGAAATTGCCGATAGATTTACAGTTTGTATGGATATCGAATTACATTTTAAAATATAGCGCGTAAAATATCTGTTGATAGAAAATGCGGTTCTGATCATTCAGTAGCATATTGAACGTTTGAACGAATCTACGGAATATTTTCAGCGCTGCAACTCGTAACTCACTGAGGAATCTTTAACGCAATTCGTATCTCACTATTTACTGTGATGAGATAAGCGTTTCGTATTCGTAATAATGTAGTAACATTTTGTTTTCACGCCTTCATCATTTTCCAGCTTAGAACTAAATTGATCTAAAAGTTTGCATCTATACAAAATTTTCTATTGCGTCCGGTTCATTTAACTATATAATTTCTTTCTCCAGAATTTTTGTACAAATGTGAAGGAAATTTTGCACTCGCTGAATATTTTTGAACTGCACAAATACTCTGTATTGATGCGAAAACATTTGCTACAAGCTAAATATTTCCATTAGACTAATTATTGTACAGGAGGTAGGAGTCGACGATCAGGGTACTGGTGCGATGTCTCTGAGCCCGTCGTCTGCATCGGCATCCCTGGTCGTCGTTTCGTCTCCACTCGAGCATAAGAGATGCAGAATCCTAGGTCACTGTCAATTAAATTCAGTCAATTGAGTGTGCGATTAAAATGGTGAAGAAGCTTTATGTTAATAATTGATTTCAAGATAATTTAAACAAGTTAAATTGAGTTTTTAACATTCCAGACGTATAATGATTACCGTTAATATACGTCTTACCGTCATATGACTTAAGTCGACCAGTCTACTCAAGTCGCCACTCTCTGGGAGAATCCATATATCGTGTGAATAATATTCTGGAAATATTCTCTAGGAAGACTGTAAATGCTTTGAAATTATTGCGCACCTGTAAAACACGAGTGAATGCGTTACTGAAATATATTATCGTTATTATTGTAGGGCGGCAAGTTAGGTGCAGTACTCGGACGACTTTCCCGTCATTGACGGTGTAACGAAAATAGTCAATGTTGAATGCATTCATCACGACAACCCCACACTTTGTGCGTCGAGTCCACTGCTCTAATTATACTGATGTTATGTATTGTGAGTGTAAACATTTTCTATTACACTCAATTTCTGTGTGGTATCATTGTAAACAAACATTCATTTGAAAATAAAAAAATATCAGTTAAAACCGAACGTTTCAATACCGAAGCGCGTGATGACTAACTTCGACTTTCGCTAATTCTACCACTTTACTAGTGGCGAATTGTATCATAACAATATGAATAGATTATTTTACTGCCATTATTGTGTTATTTGACTTTTACATTCTAGCGTACAAATTATTTGTACATTGGAAGCAAGGTATTATTGAATGATTCAGCAAAGATCACTGCTTGTAAATATATTATCTCCATGACTCGTAAGTGTTGATGCAGACTTCGACAAGGCCACTTTCATTTCCACTCGAGTGCACCACCAGACCACTTTGCTATGCTTCCTATTTTCGTGAGCATTTGTGAGGTTTACTTTCAGCTTCTTCGATACTGTCAAGTCTGTTTGTCTGACAAGATCCACAAGGCGTTCCTTATGAAGCTAGCCTGATGCGGAAGTGTCCAAGTCCCGTGTAATGAATAGCTAAATATTTCAAGATTTTCGAACTAAGCAGTTTTTGAATGTACTTACTCATGTGAAATATAATATGATAATAAACATTTGAATTAACTTGAAGCCATAAGGAAATAGAAACTGCGGTGCTAACTTCAATATTGAACATTTTGTAGTGCAGACAGACGTTGAAAATTAAATACTGAGCTCATTGGCGCTATACACCAATGTATACACCAATTTATGAGCAACATTCACTTATAAGAGCATAAAGTCATTCTCACGTTTCATCCCTAGATAATTATGTTTTAACTTAAAAATTTAATTTCGTGCAGCGGAAAAAACATCAGTAAAATTGTACAAAGCCATCTATTTTCTAGCTCTACTAACGATCAACTTCTAATTGCAATTTTTGGGGAGAGTAAATAATTTAAGTTTACCATTTTTATTCCGCAAACTCCATTTTCTAGGTGGAAACAACTGCTCAAACTGTTATTTTTTCTTTATTGAGGAAAACCAATGCTCGATCGAAGAAAATGCTTCATAAGATTTAATTCCATTCAAATATTACGGCGAATTCTAAAAAATCTCACAATTTCTGTCGGAAATGCTGAGCGGTTAAATGTTTTCTTCGCTGTGTAGGAGGCAAAAGAATCATTCGAACAGCCACGTAAACTCGTATTTTGCTTTTTCGCTTTAGTACTTCACATTTCCAGTCTACACTTATATTTTGTTCAACAATTCGCTTGTTCTATAGCTTTCAATTGCAATTAATGGAAGTTTTTGGTAATGTTCACTTTCTCTTTTGCTTGTCCGGGTAATGTTATGGAAGAAACAATAGTGAATGAAGCGAGAAAGCTGCTTTAAACTTTATGATGTAAAACTTCAAGTTGCATAATACAGGATGATTAAACAATGAAATCAGTTCCCTTTAGATTACCGCATCTCTATTTCGATTAAGGTTAGATATATGGGGTATAAATTAGATTCTTCAGCTCGTATCGAAAAAGACATTAAATTTTTTCTTCTTATTCTTTCGCATGTCAAAATGTAACATTTTGTATTTAGTAAAAGAATTCAACTTCTTCTCGATTACGCACCTTCACACTACCAGATGAAGTTAAAAGGCAAGCATTATCATTACAATTCTATTTGAAATTTACACCCTATTCATTTTTTGATGTGCATTCGTGTAGTTGTCTTGTAAGGACAGTATAGATTCACAATTCCTTAGTAAAGAAAATACTCCTTGCGTCGCTTCATCGCTTGACCGCAAAAGGTCTCGTGGGGCCCAGGAAAATCTCTTCAGTAACTTGATGTTCGTACCCTGAGGCCGTTTAGAGCGGACTTTCCGCAACCTTTCAAATTGTCTAGAAAAATTTTAAATTCGAGCAGGAGGAAATTAACATTCTTCTTTTAAACTAACAGTGAAAATCTCAAAAATGTGTAATGCAGTTTCAAAACATGAAGCTGTTTATTTATTCAATTCTGATCAAACATTGAGTGCATTATTGTTCTTAAAATGACGAGACATATGGTATACGAATAAACATATAATGAGCTGGCTACTGAAACTTGAATTTTCTGAAATTTTAATTTCAAATTTAAGAAATAACTAAAATAAAATGATATATTATAATGACAAATTATAATTCCAATCACACTAAGTTATATAAAGTGAATTATGACAAACTCTGTAATAAGTAAAAAATTTGTATGAAACCATTATATGCTCAATTGTAGAACATTTTCGTTCAAATTAAACGATAAAGTTCTTTCATAATTTAAGGCTCATGCTCAGAATTTGATTAATGGAGTAAGAGGACTATTTTCGTCGAAAATTAGGCTCTTTTATTAGAATTCAATGCCATGAACAACTTATTGGCATGCTGATATCTTCGATGGGGTTGTGCAGTGGGGTCATTGGGGTCGAGACCGCTTATGTTGGTTGTTGGTATACTGTATATTGTCGTTGGGTTTGACACGGCTTATGTTGGTTGTTGGTATATTTGATTGTTGTTGTTGACACGGAGAATTCTGAACACCGTTTCGTAGAAATCCCCGAGAGGGAATTTGTTACGTTCGCTGGTCGTATAACTTCTGAGTCCCAGCTAAGGAGGAAGATGGGCAGAGACGAGACTAAAAATTTGGGGAAGGTATTCGGTGGAATCTGGTATACAACTGAAGGACAAAGGCTTGCTGGCCATACATTGACATACTATTGTTCTATTTGAATTTGATAGTAATACGTAAACACTTACGTAAACACTCTTGTAAACGTAGTCGACCTTGGTTTGATCTCAGTGTTATCAACCGATTCGAATCCGGCCGGGCCCATTTGCTGCTTTTGGGCAACCGCGGACCTGAGTCTACAATGAATAAGTCTGCAATGAATGAGTCTGCAATGAATGAGTCTGCAAAATGAGCCTGCAATGAATGTGACGCTGCCGATGTGTCGATACATGGATACTCCTACTGTATTATTTACCTATCACATAGTAATATCTAGAGAAGTTCAGACACCTTCTGCGCTTCAGAATTAGTTTCAACATAGATAGCTTTACAGGGCTCAGTCTGTTGTATCTGGAAATTCATAGGCAAGTGAATAAGTGCTGTATTGCATTCTCTCATCGCATTGCAAGTGAATGGCAGCAAACTAAGTGGATATCATTCACGGTGACCTGAAATAGAAATTCCTTGTGCGTGAAGCTGAAACTAAATTAAATACCGCAGATGACCAGCAACACACGACCCTTCCTAACGGGCACTAGTTGATGCAAAATAAAGAATGGGGATATCGTCTAGCTCAGACATTTTTATCCGTGCTCGTATACAGGAAACCACGATTTTTGCAGGTGTTGTTTTCCCTCTGATGTTGTTTTTTTCACGAATGTTTTCCACGAATGTTTTGCAACAGAGATATGCGTTTGCGGGGAGATTTTATGCATCGGTCGGAGCTGCGTGAACTCGTAGCATATTAAATGGTTGAATTGAAACTTGCTGCACAAAAGAACTCCAAGCGATAATGAATTATGAAAATAATTTGGGAAAAATTTTATAATTCAATAGAATTTATTAGGTGAATGCAATTTTGTGGAAGACGGCATTGCATTCAGCCCAGTGTTAGAAATTTTGTAGATTTAAAAAAAAAAGTTTTCGTTTAGCTAGTGTATGCTACCAAATTCAAAACTAACTTGTAGCCTGGTAACTGATTAGGGAGCCTGTTACCTACAGGATGCATTAAAACAGCAATCGCGTGTCCTGGCAGAGTGTCCCGTCTCATACAGCCAAGATGAAACACTTACTTCACAATATATGTGATATATATATGCCTATATGCCTATGAATGACTAAATATTCAAAATAAAGAATTAAATGCTACCTAAAAACATATTTGTTTTTTAGGTAGCTTAAATGCTACCTAAAACCATACCGAAAGCCTACATTTAAAGCATGTTCTTTTAAAGAAACGATGCACATTGCAAAATGCGAATTTGACAGCGTGTCTGCATTGAAGTCAAGGCCTGTAACTCTCTGCTAAGCTTAAGATGCATTCTTATTGACGCGGACATGAACAGAACTCATCTCATCAGCACCGAAATGAAGGAAAAAGAATACAATTTACACTAGAAATTTATTTGATTGGTAAAGAAGTTTTGTTAGCATTCATAGGCTTTGTCACTTCGGTCCGGACGTATTAATGGCCTTAGTATGAATGCATTCGAATTATCTAATTATCCAATAACCGAATTATTGTAGTTCTTATATGCCCAACCTGGACCGGGACCCGTTTCTATTAAGTTTTCATGATTCAAAATATATCAATGGCATTCAATAATGTGCGCCGCGCTCTCTACAGGATTTTTATCGCCATGTTTAAAATAAGTTTTTACAAATGATTGACAAACTAACAACATATTTTCATTTATGAGCTCGAATTTTGATTTTTTTATTCGTTGTACCGATGGTGTGCCTGGATCTGCAGCTCACCCGCCTCTAATGAACGTTTTTACACAACAATATCTGGCCCAGAAAACTTGACGCTAACTAAAACTTATGTTTCAGCAACTCTCCAAATGCAGTAATTGGGTAATAAATTGCGGCATCTGCTATCCCAAAAAAAAAAATAAAAACACGACAAAAGTTGCGTCTTCGTTCATCTTACTTTACCAAGTTGGCTGCAATTTGATGATACGAAATTTGCTTTGAACGGCTTTTTAAAAACTTTAGCTTTTAATAGTAGAAATTACTTCAGTCAAAACTGTATCAAGACGACTGAAAATGTTGAAGGAAACTTGCATGCATGTGTACTTTGTAGTACAAAAATAATTGAAGGAAAATCTGATGTCACGAAAAGTGAGCTTGCCAAGTAAACATAATGCTATCGTGGACTAATTATTCAGTATGTACATTAGTAAGTAGCAGCTTCTTCACTTGAATAATGAATCAAGTTTACAAACTTTCATGTTCCGGGAATTAGATCAATCATAGTTATTCAGAACATAAGTACTGAGCTCGGCATAGCAGAGAGAGATATGATTATCCATGCAGCTTTCACGTCCAGCATCTCATGAAAATAAATATTCATATATTTCTGCAGACCACGAAATAAATCAGCAAGTACGTGGCTTTGGCGAACCAAGCGATCCAATGAATCATTAACAA